AGAGCAGTGCCAATGAACTTCTTTATGATACTCGGCAACTAACAGCTAAGCAATTTCATTGATACATTTCTGGGCTGAGGCCTTGGGTTTCTTCTAATGACGGGTATAATTGCAGCTCCTCTGCTCTGACCTTTTAGTTGGCTTAATGTAGGCATCCACGCTTGAAAGTTGTACATTGTACAAAGGGAGTTCGAATTCGGATTTCTCTTACTACACCTACAAGTGGAATGCCAGTCTGATGTGCTCAGAAATGAATATAAACACTGAGCAGAACAAGTAGAAGCACTGTTGGACACAAAGGTGCAGTGTAACGTGGGCACCATAACTTCATTCTTACCATGCCATCTTGAAGAATTATTTTTTTTTAAAGCAGAAATAAATCTAAATAAATCTATTTTTCAGCCTTTTCAGGTGATGTAGGATTAATTTATATGGAAATGAACAAATTTTCTAAGTTGTACAGTGCACATCTTTGGAATTACCCTACGAGGTATTAATTGACCATTACTTCGTTCTATAAGCCACTGTGTTCAGCAGCTGACAGAAGGTTTTAAAGCCTGATTTGGAATACGAACTGACAAAGATGTGAAGAGAGACAATGTCTCTAAAATGTGTGTAATTACTGAACTTTCAAATATGCAGGCATTATGCAATATAGGATCTTTAAAGTGATTTTATCTCCTCTTGTTAGGCACAGAGTTTATATCTTTTATTTTAGATCAACATTTAAAATAGTCAAGGCTCATACCGCTTAAATTTGTTTTTACAATTATTTGTATAAATTCTCTTCTTCTATGACCAATTTAAACTCTTGTTTCATAGGAAATTGTATCCAAGGGGAAGATGTGTCTGGGTTAACCATATGTGTTTGTGTGTGTGTGCCTGAATATTCTATTATTAACTAGTGAGGTGATTTCCTGCAAGCAGGAGGTTTTACTGATGCCCTTTATTTTATGTAATTTTATGTTAAAGAAATTGCATTGTATTTTAAAAGATAGTCAGGCACATCAGCAATTCTGGGAAAAAATAAGCGTGGGCGTCCTGGATATTTGAACAATTTGGACTAATGAGCAATACTAAGCAGTCTTGAAAGGGAGAAGCACGTATGCAAAAAAAAAAAAAGAGCTGAGTTTGGAAACTAAAAAGGAAAAACCACAGAGTGAGTAGGAAGCATATCTTGGGTAAGAGTGAAGAAAAGCTGAGCAAGAGCTCTTGGGGCAGCATCCTGCTTTACCAGCTGGGGGCACTTCTGGCTGTCTCATTTGTTTGATTCTTGCACAGCTGAAAGAGATCTGACCCTGTAAAAGGCCTTGTTAGTTTTATTTTGAAAGTATAGCTGATAAATAAATTGGAGGGGGGGATTAAAACAAACAAAGAGTAAAGTCAGTTCTTGCTTCTGCCTTTGGGAACTTTCTACCCCTTCAGCCAGAGTGCAAGCACTCAAACAGGTTGAGTACCTGTAATAGGCACAGCTGAGGGGCTGAAACTGCGGTGAGGAGCACAGCCTGGAAACAGCATCAGAAGTCTCCTAAAAAAGATCTGGCATTGATGATGAAAGTTTCTGTGCTCTCAGTGGCAAAGGTGCTACAGAGGAGTCCCACTCCTCCCCTGGCAGCTCCCTCCTGTCCCCTGGCTGTGGCAAAGGCTGATCCAGCAACCTCTGCAACTGGGCTGTGGCTGGTGGGGTGGAAGGTCTGGTGGGCAAGGTGGAAGGGGGTAACAGGCATAAGCAGATGGGGGCATGCCTCAAAATGATAAATTAATGCTAGTTGTTAAAACTAGCATTTAACACTAGTTATTCTTTGTGATCTTGATCGTAATGAAGTAAAATTCTATACCAGTATCTCCTAATGGAAAGACCTGAGTTTTGTCTAGGTGGTCAGGTAAAAATGTTAAGAGCTGAATTGTTCAGCTGGTACCAAAGTTAAATGTGCTTCAGCAGCAATTAATGATCAGATTCGGCCTGCACTGTGGTCTTACAAATGCTTTTTTTCTCACAGCATTGCCATCCACTCGCTGTTCATTCTTGCTCGCTTCCACCTTTATCCACATACTCTCTTGTGCCAGTATAGCAGTTCGTGTGACTGCACAGGGAATTGGGTCAGGAAACTAATTCAGTTTTTAAAAAACCTTTTCGGGGGAGGCAGGGGAGGGTTATTTTCCTCAATACAGTCCAACGTGTGCCAAACCAGCAGTTGTTCTGGCACAAATAAGGTTGTGGTGTAAGGTGGGAATAAGCTGGAGGGAACAAGGTATTAAAGCCAACACTGTTGCTGAAAGAGATGTTTGTGAAAATACACCTTGTTTTGGTGCAGAGCAGCAGGAAAAAGGGTGTAACTAACTCTTCTGGGAATTGCTGGGTTATATGTGGTCATTTGCTCGGAACAGAGACCTAGCTCTGAGTGCTTACAGCCCCCCGTTCAGATCCCTCTTTTCTGTAGCAGGCTGAACAGAAATCTCATTGCTTCTAAACTCTGGAAGAGTGTGCTGTGCTAGACTGGAATGGATGTAAATTTACTCGCTGATAAAAAGAAAAAAAACCCAGTCAACCTGAAATTTTCTGTATGATACTGTTGTTCTTTGGTGCATTGTCCTTTTCTCCATTGTGCCCTGGGCACTGCTGCTACAGGAGACACTGCAAATGGCCTGTCCTGCTGCACACATGTATGTCTCTTCCAGGTATTCTGCTCAAATCTGCCATTCCTTGCGCTGTAAATCAGCCCTCCTGGGCCGCAGTGGCTGCACACTCCTGTTCTGTGTATCTCATGACTTTCCCTGAACTGTAGTTCCTTCAGGTACAGAGGTTCCTTGCCTTCCTTTTTTTCAGGTGTAATACAGTAAGATTTTGTTCTTTATCCAGTTCTTTCTACTCACAGTTTTCATAGCTAAGTAAGCACCTTCTTATTTTTTACACAGAAAAATAGACATAGGTGATTGTAGCAGATTGACCCAGATGACAGCCTGGTCTCCATCACAGCATGGAATAGTTAAATAGCTCTCCTCACTTCAGGCCACTGGCCAAGGCGTCTCTATCTTTACAAGGGGCTATTCCCTCTGGCAACTTGCTTTGCTTATTTTTGTAGTTGCGTGTTATGTTTCTGTGGGATGTATTTTTCATTAATGTGGGCTAATTGGGTCACTAAATAATATTAGTGAGAGACAACCAAATTCTGGTTGGATCTCTCATTGCACACCTGAGACCATGCTCACCTATATCACCTCTCTTATTCCAGTCCCAAGTTCTTCCAGGGCTGTTATTGCCCGAGTGCACAGCGCTGCCCTTGTGCAGTGTAGAGAGGTACCTGCTGAACCTCTGTGGTGTTGTGGAGCTCACCTCACCTGGGCACCAAGGGAAGAGGCTCATCTCAGAGTCAGAAATCAAGAGGAGCCTCCACATTGAAGTCAGCGGCTCGATTCAGAAACCTAAATGGGATCAAAGTTGTGTCATATGACACAATAAGAAGAACAATACTTATCCCCTGAAAATTTATTTATTAATTTTATTATAAAAACTCATTGATCCCTTCAGTTCTGTGCATAGTCTTTTAACAGGTCGACTGCTTGAAGCCTGACTCCAGGTTTCACTCAGTTCTCAGCTGGGCAACTTTCCCGTCACAGTTGATGCCATTTTGCCTGAGTAAGAGGACCAGTAAAAAGGAAAGAGCATTTTAGGATTTGTGCTACTTAGTGGTGTTAAGAGTCTTTAAGGCTTCTCTTTAACCCCCAGCCAGACAGAGAAGAAAAGACACCTCATCAGCTCTGCCTGGCACTTGCAAGTGTGCTCACACCCAAGGTTATCATTGCTGTGGCTCTATGTTGATGCTCCTGCGTATGTCCCCATAAATCAGTAATGTGCCACTTTTTTTTCCCCCTCACTTTACTACCAGAGTTCTCTATCTTCAGGTGGTCAGATTTCTAAAGAAAGTTGAAGCCACGACTCTTCTCTACCAAATGCAGTATGTCCAGGAGGTTACTGTCCTCTAGTGGTAAAACACTCTGCGTGCAATCTTATCTCAGAAGCAGATGGCAGAGTGATTTCAGGCACTGCCTTTTCTATGTTATTCACACATTAATACTGGCCTTGAAGAACCACCTCGCTTTGAAAAGATTGCCTAATAACAAAAACATATAGGATTGAAGTTCTTAACAGAGGAACTTTATAACAAAGTTGATGTGAACTGTGATAGTGATGCTTTGCTAAAATAATTCGGTTTCAGGTTTAGTTTTAAGTATTGGTTGGCTGCTTCAGCCGTTCTTCTGTGTTGTTCCTTGAACTTACAAGTGGAAGAATATTTGTTGAAGTGCAAAATATCAAGTCAAGGGATACAAGTTATTGCTCTGTTTCAACTGTAAAGTGTTAGCAAAACTTTGGATAAGTTCTTTCCCTACCAATTTCTGTATGGACAGTGGAGTGACAATAATAACTACTTCATCACAGTGTTTGAGGGCTGTTGATGGAAACAAGGTCCTCAGAGGAAACAATATGCCATGTGAAAAACAGTAATACATTAGGACCTCTTACAATAGGACCAAACTCTTTGGGAGGATCCTGTATCAGGAGTGCTATTTATTTATACATTTGCATAAAATCAGAGTGAGCTCTTGCCATATGTAGATCACTGTTTTTATTTGTTTTTTGGGGAGTTCTTACCTAGTATCAGAGACTCCAAAGCAAGAAAAAAAAAAAAACCAAACAGATTTAAAATGTTTATTTTCCTTTATTTATCATATACGTCTATTCAAATATGTTTTGTTAATATTTTTAGACCTAAATGATTAAATCATTGATTAGTTACTGTTAATCACCTGTTCATTTAACCTTTTAATTAAAAAAAAAATTCTTTTGAGATAACTCAAAAGTAATAATAATTTCAAGTTATTGTCCAGTATCCATCTAACTAATGAAATACGGGTGAAAATTCCACCAATTACCCTGTTGATAATTAAAAAGCCTTTTAATAGAATAAAACTCATATGCATTTTTCTGCACTCTTTCACAGGAATCAGTATAGAAAGAAAGAATGAATGAATGTCAGAAGAAACCGAGCTTCACCTCCAGCCAGTGTTACTTTTTTTCCCCCGACGGAGCAGTAACCTGAGGGACTTTAGATGTCCAGAGTACAGCAATTAGGTAAGACTTAATGATTTTCATGAGTCCAGACTGATGGGAAGGTGTCATTGTACGGAAGAAAAGTCAGCATTCGGGTTGCTGTTAACTCTTGGAAAAGTTTTCGACTACATATATATTCCAGAAGGAGCCACTGCTGACTAGTAATTAAGCCTCTGAGCAGTCCAGTTTTGTTTGTTTAACCATGAACACTAATTGTCCTGTGGCCATGGGGACATTGCTAGGAATTCAGTTGCCATTTGCCCATCACTTAACGCTCACCTAAAATCTGCCTGCGGACAGAGCTGCCTCATGGAAGGTGTATCCTGAATATCTTGCTGAGCTGCATGACCTTGACCTGAAGCGCTAGTGCCAGGGCTGGAATATGCAATGACTTTGTGTTTCATTACCAGATTGTTACCTAACAAGCCCCAAATCATTGCTGCAGTGTTATTCTGACATATAGTAGACTGGATCTTAAAACGTGTTCTAGATTTGTTGTCTCCTTATGCCCGTGTGGATGATGCAGCTTTCTTCTGTGAATGGATAAAAAGCCTGGGATTTGCCTTTAAATGCTTTGAAGCTGAAGCATGTTTTTGTCTCTCTGTTTTCTGAGGCCACTGTTCAGGACTCAACAGATGGACAAATCTTCAACTTGGGTCATTTCAGTGAGGTGACTAGACAGTTAACACTGATCACAGCTAATTTGAGGGGTGGCAGATGGGTGCTAGATGGGCTGTAGCTCTCTGTGTTACAAAGTACTGTTATAAAGACATCAGTGAAGGATTTGCAGTGGAGGAAAGAAGAGTAATGTAAGTTCTGTGATATATCAGACAAACCACATTCTTCTGTGCCTGCTGTTTGCTTGGGTGGCTTGCTTTGTATGTAATAGCTTTCTGACACACAAGTTTTTAAGACGCTGCAGTGTCACTTAGACTTTAATACATGTATAGTTCACCACCAGCATGGACTGCCACCACATGAGGCTCTGGAGTTGGCTAACAACATTAGTTCAACTCAGCATCCCTCCCCAGACTTGCCAAGGAGTGAAGCTTGCTGACAACAGGCTTGCTACTGCTAATGAGGCTTGAGATGAAGCCATACATCACAGACCAGTGCTATGGACCCCCACCTGCATAAAGGAGTTGTGGATGATGTTCACCAACAGCTGTTATTGCTTGGTCACTTACAAACACAGGCCATGATATTGAAACCAAATAGCCCTCACGTACATAGTCAGCAGGGAGAATACAAGCTCCCCCATCAGGTATCTCTGCTGCCTGGGGGAGAGGGGATTCACTGGCTGGGGAATGACACATGGGTACTGAGATAGATTCCTGAGGTGAGACAACATGAACAACTCTGCCTTACAGCGAGCCCAAGATACAACCTCTCATAAAAAAGATTTCAAACTGAAAAATAGATCTACCGCATGTCTAATAATTCTCCAAATGTCATCTGCTCTGCCTTGCTTAGATGCCTCCTTTCAAAACACAAGAGCAGTGTTTTGATACTACTAGGTCCTTGTCCAAAGGTTATTAGTAAAGAGGCTGCACTTGATTTTCAGAATCTGAGATTCTGAATTCAGCTTTCAATTTCTATTGATACAGCTCTGTTGCTCCAATGGAGCCTGTCTGGCTTTCCAGCGATATCAAATATGATCTGAAATCATAAGGGAAACTATTTGCTCTCATTTTTCAGTCATAGTAGGGTATATCCAGAAGTCTATGAATATATTGATTTACAGTCTTTCTGAAAGTAGATTCTAATGATGTTAGCAATTGAAATCAACCCCTGTGGACATTTGGTAGTCAAGAAATGTTCTGTTTAATTCAAGCATGAAATTAATGTTGATATGCAAGTTATACCAAACAATTCTTACTAAGCAGCAGTAAGATGTGCCTTGTGGACATTTCTTTCTCTCCTTTTTTTTTTTCTTTTTTCTTTTTTTTTTTTTTTTTTTGGTTTTCAGTTTGGGATGAGTGTTATTGTAGCATGTTTTTGTAGCAGCATAGTTAAAAAGACCTTGCAAGGAAGTGCACAGTAAAGTGAAATATTTTAGGAGAGGGCACAGCAAAAGACTTGAGCTGCCTTCTACTTGTTTTGGTTTTTTTTTTTTTTATATATATATATATCTTAGGAATAACTCTGTTGCAGCTTGATATGTTGTTTGGCTCATGTGTGATAGATTTTCCATGTGTGTTAAGAAGGGAACCAAATGTTGTCTCATACTGGGTATATCAGTTTTTTCCTAAGTAGCTTATCCTGCTAATTTTGGGTCATCACATCTTACTATCTGGTTTTTTTACACTATTGGCTACACGCAGTTTTCTTTTTAGAAGGTGGGAAATTAGCTTATAGCTCTTAATTGTATCCTTAGCACCTCATCCTACATTGTTGTGAATGAAGTCAGCAATTGCCTGCCTTCAATTATTCACTAAATGTGGAAGAATTAACCTATTCCTTACTCTCTTAGGAGAACTTTTCCTACAGGTCTTTCAGGTTTTTTTAGGGTCAAGCCCTTTAAAGAATGAATTATATAACATGTAGCAGTTGATTTTTGCAAATTAATTACTTCTAAATTAATACTGCTACTATTTTGTCAAAAACTTTATCCTTATATTTCCCTTCAATTTATTCATCCTCTCTTCAGATTCTTTATTTTCTAAGCCCTTTTGTGCTGATTTGTGTTTCCAAATAAGCTGTATTTTTATATACAAGTAACAGTTTAGATGTGATGGTAAAAATGGGGATTTTTTTTTTAATAACAAATACTGTAGATACTAGTAATTCGTACTAGTAAATGTAATAATATTTTCCTCCCTTCTCTTGCATGAAGATCAAACCACTTAATGCCAGGATTTACCACTGATTCTCTGGAATTTTACATCAGTAATGACTAGGAAGTCTACTTACTATGCAGATAAACCTAAGTAGTACAAATAGAGTTAGGGTTAGAGAAAATATTTGAATAGAAGATAGTAGATGTGAAAAGTACATGCCCAAATGGCAAAACAGATTGAGATTCTGGGTTGACGCAAATGATTATAACTCCATGGAAGTTAATAGACCTATTCCAGTTCACAAGAGTTGAGAATCTAAAAATAATGAAGTTAAGCTTAAGAGAAACAGGCAGAACTATGGCTGGAACTTGGAATGCAGAGTGAGGAAGTCTGTAGGTTGCAGGATAAACATACAGCAGAGATGCCAGTAGTGCTTCAGCCAGTGGGGTACTTTTTTCACTGGCTCTGTATGTCTCATCGTTGGCACATAAATGGTATTTTATACAAGCAAGAACATGGAATAGGTAAGAACGTTGCTGAATTTGTTGCTCATCAGGTTAAAAAAGACACTTAAATGGTCCAGCCACTGGATGTCTCTCTTGTTCTGCTTATGTGAATGAGGACTGGCTTTTCAGAGTGAAAAACCTACATCTCAGAAACATAAATGGGTCAGTACGGAAGGCCAGCTGCCCGGTGCTGCCCAGCTGACTGAAGTGGTATGACACCAGTCACCAACATACAGTGGAAAGGCACCAGGTACCTTGTCTTTATTCCTGCCAGGGGTTTCTGGCTCAGGTCAGCTGAAATTGGTAGTAACTTTAGCTAGACAAGAAACAGATTTCCTTTTTCTGGAAAAGTCTGCACTTTCTATTTATTTCTCAATTCTGAAACAGAATTAAGAGAGACACATTCAGATCTTCCTATAAAATCCTATTCTGGAAAAATAAACATTTGGACAGACTTTTGGTTACCTGTGTGAGTTGAGGTCCAGATCTTTGTTTTGCTCAGCTTCATTGCTTAAGCAGTAGAAATCTTTCTTCATGCACGTTGTTAGCTCTTTTTTGTTTGATGCATCAAAAATAAATGAATGTAGGAAAATGCTTAAATCCTTTTGAGGTTGAGAACTTCACAGTCCCTGACTTGTGTAGAATCAGTTTCATATTGCTTCATAGCACATCACTTTCAGTGATCTGAAATACTGAAAGAACAGAGTGAAGCCTCAGGCATTGATTTTCAGAAGGGCCTATGAAGGTGAGCACTGAGAATTTAGGGTTTCAGTGATTTAGCTAGAATGATATGGGAATTTGGAGTTAAGGAGGAATGTAAGAGAGATCTGTAAGTTTCAAGATAATGTGATGACTAGATATTTTTTTCCATTCTTCAATTCTCCATGCTATTTTTCAGAAAGAGTTTCATCTGTATATTGTGAAGACAGTATGTTTCCTTATATTAATACTATTTGTTTAATACTTTAAGTTAAAACCAACTTACAAATTCTGAATGCTGGAAGTCTGACGTCTTTCAGAATTTTGCTGGATTTTTTTCTGTATCTTACAGTATACATGAAAGAAGTTACATAACTTTTTACTTTAATGGTTCACCAGTATTTAAGCTCCTCTAGTTTATTTCTGTCAAGAATGTTGATATTAAATGATATATCTTTGTGTACATTCTTTGTAATCAAAGTGGGATTAAACTGAGGTCCTGTTTCCTTGAATGTAACAGGAAAAAAGACAATAGGAAACAGCTCTTTGGCAGTAACCCAAGCCTCTCTTTTCAATCAGGGCTGCACTCAGAAAACTCTCTCTTTTCTCTCTTTGTGAGAATTCAGGATCATTCTACAAAGTGTTTCACTGTCTGGGGGTCTTTTTTGCCTACGTAAGTAACTTTTCTGACTGGGTGACTTCCACCATTTTGCTAAAATTATACACACCTTTGTGTTCACATCCACGTGGCTCAGATTTTTAGTTTTTAAATTTGCCTGTTTTGTGGCTTGTGCTTGAGAGGTGATACCTATTTGCATCTTCTGTTTTACACCAGTTATAATTCAAACCCATTTACCTCTCTAGGACTACAAACTGGTTTCATTCCACTCTGTTTCCAGTTGGTTTGTAGCCTTTAAGGAGAACAGGCAGGGAAAGTATGCTTCTCACTTCTTTGTAAAAGGTGGGTTTATGAACCAACTTATTACAGTATTTTGAAATGCACTGTTACCAATTCTTTTGAGTTTCCCTTCTTTTTAGGGGACCTAAACAGCATTTGCATTTCATTGTCCAAGAATTTTTGCTCTGTCTTGCACAGTAAAATAAAATATCAGAAGTGCTGTTTAACATTCTAAAGCAAGCCTCAAACAGGGGATGTGCTCATTGCCATGTTCTTAAAGTCTAGGGCAGACAACCCTCCATTTTGCTATACTGAATATTTTAAGGCCTGTACTCCTCCTGGATTTTTCCAGGTTAGTATTGGGAGAGATCATTGCCTAATCCTGATTACGTATAAAAACAATAATCAGAAGGGGTTATTTAGTGCAAGAGCCAGATTGTATGGCTGTTATCTCAGACTGCCAGTGAATCCCATGGAGTGCTGTTTAATTTTGTAAATTAGCATGCAATTAGAAAGAGTTTTGCTTTGAGGCTTTTTTTGGGGGGTATGTTTGGGTTTTTTTCCACAGCAAAATCAAGAATAAGTATCACCATAATGTATGGTTTCTTTTTATAGCTTTCAGGTAGATTTAGTGGTTGCCTCATCATTAATTATTCTATACTGTATCTTGCAACTTATTTGTCCTAGTGTTGTCAGAACTGCCTGTGTTGTGGTTCTGTTAAAACTCTGCAAAGGAGACATGAAGAGAAAGGGATAATAGCGTAGGCAGATGAGTGTAATGCAGAGCTCTGAAGCTCCACTGTATTTTTAGTCAAAAGCAAATGTCTAATTCAATAATTATGGAAGAAAAGTGGATCTGTAATTATGTTCATAATTAGAGAGGTCCTTTTTGGCTCTTAATCAAAATAATGTAAAATATGTAGGTTTCTGAGCACCATAGAAAACATCAAAGCTGGTAATGTGGGAGGTTATTGTGGTCCAGGGATGGGAGGGGGTTTCTAAAATAGTGAAAATCAGCATAGCTCAGTTGGAGCTCTTTATTTCTATTGATGTATACTAGTTGAAAATTGCTTTATGACTTCAAGTTGCATAGAAACAAAGCAAACCAAAGACACTGTTATGAAAGCATCCATCTAGGAAAACATTGGGGGAAGAAAAATGCAGTGAAAACAGAAGGCTTTCTAAATTAAATTTACTATTAAATTTAATAGAGTTTCCTAGTGGGGAGTTCCTGGAAGATGAGGACTGAAACGTGAAGCAAACTTTGATTGCTCTTTTAGCTGTCTCAATAGTATATTTACAAGAACTGAATTTCTTTTTTTCTAGGGAAAAATACCCCTGCTTCATAACCACTTTAAGAAGCATTTGCTATGGTTGTTTCCAAAGGAACAGCTCAATGGTTTCATAAATATCAAAGTTAATATGCTCCTAAAAACAAGGAAAATTGCCTGTAGGTGATTTCTGCTTATACAGAAATAGCTACACTGTGAATTAAAACTTTCTCTAAACTTTTTCTCTAGGCCTGCTACCTATTACTGCATACTTTGCTGTCCTGTTCCTACTTCCTTTAGCTGTTTTGAATCAACAGTGGGTAGAGCAATACTTAAATGAAATGTACTTGAGGGTAAAACATGATCTAACAAATTATAGAAAATAAACAATATTAAGCATAGCTTGTGACTATAAGGAGATCAGAAACAGCCTAATGGGGACATCCTTTTTTTTTTTTTTTTTTTTGTAAATGCAATAGCTATGCCACATATCATAAAGCCATACTTAGGGCTGGCTTTGAAGAAAATATAAAATCTTTCAAAAAGTGGCTTCCAGAAAGGAGTCTGAGAAAAAAAATTTTCTTCTTTTATTGAGTTGCTATTTGGTATGCAGTAGGAGCTGCTGCTTCTTTATTTTTGCTTTTTTTTCCTTGATTTTAATGGTGTTAAGCCACCTTACAGTCTTGAGAAGCAGCTTTCACTAAAGATATCTGCATAAACTTGGTAATGTGTGTAAGCCTCATAACAGCCATACTTAGAGAAAACAAGAGCTTTTTCTGCCACTTAGAGGTGCAGGAAAACCCAGCTGCTAGCCAATTAACTTACATTGTGCTTTACTCTTTAATATTTACTATTTAATATTTGTGTTGTACTGGGATGGGGGGACATATCATTATTAGACAGCTCACAGTATCATGCTTATGAAAGAACATGTGGATTATGAAAAGAGATGCTAGAAAATTGGGTCTCCCTGTTAGGATTTCATAACAGGCTTTGAGTCACAGCATCACAGAACTGTAGGGTTTGGAAGGGACCTTCAGAAATGATCTAGTCCAAACCCCTGCCAAAGCAGGTTGGACAGGAACACATCCAGGTGGGATTTGAGTATCTACAGAGAAGGAGATTCCACAACCTCTCCGGGGCAGCCTGTTCCAGTGGTCTGGCACCCTTAAAGTAAAGAAGTTTTTCTGCATGTTTAGACAGAACTTCCTGTGTTCCAGCTTGTGTCTGTTTCCTCTTGTCCTGTCACTGGGCACCACTGAGAAGAGCCTGACCTCCATCCTCTTGACACTCCCCATTAGATATTTATAAGCATTGATGTGGTTCCCTCCCAGTCCTGGTGGACTTTCCGCTGCCAGAGCCTTAAACCAGTCTAAATGCAGTAGAGTTGATTGTACAGAAGGCAGCAGGAGACTGAAACCAGCCTGAGCAGTGCTGGTTTATGGCATGGGAATGGTCTACTGAAAGCTGCTGGTGTTCTCCCCGTCACAACCGAGCTGGTTCTACCCAGAAAGTGCAGGGGAACTGTGATTTAATTTGTGATCTGCATCCCTCGTTTGGGGTGCCCATTAGAAACTAAGAGGCCCTTGCCCTACTCTTCTTTACTGTTCCTGGGTTTGGTAATTTCATTTTATGTGTAGACAGCTCTTCATTGTGTTAGGTATTTGTATTTCACATTCCTCACGTCTCCTAAATTATTTGTCAGTGTGGAATAAGCATTCATAAAGCTGCTTATCCACTGGCAAGTTTTAGAAATCTTTTATCTAAAGTTTTACGCGGGAGCTTTCATCAAAGTCTTTATTTTTGAAAGGTAGTTCTAGAAATTGTTACTAGTAACACGCCTGGGAGATTGCTTCCCTCTGGAAAATGTGTGCCTCCTTAGAAAAAATGATGAGATGTCACAGTCTTGACTTAAAAGTAAGCTCTTAATTCCTTCGACTGATGTTTTTTGACAAGTCCATCCCTGACGCTCTGTCGCAGGGTGTAGTGTACAATAAGGAAAAAATTACTGGTTTTCTCCTTCGGGCAACAAGTAAGTCTCTCCCCCTTAACTTAGAAAATAGAAATCAACATATATTTCTTCTAATTACTAGGTACAATATATATATAAAAAAAAATTAATCCCAAACAGTTCTCTTTTAAAATGTGGGTATCTTCTTTCCCCGCTACACTGGTCTGAAATAATGAGGCAGGAACCAACCATACAGTTAGGCTGGCCCTGGTCTTTTCTTACTCTGTTGTGGCTGTCACCAGCAAAGTTTCCCTCTCTTGCTTAATTTTAGAGGTCCTTCTCTACTCTTATTCTTGTTATTCCACTGATCTCTCCTTCCTCCTCATCTCACTTTGTCCTTTTCTTCATTCTCCAACATGTTTTTTGGTTTGCTCTGGTTGGCAGGATTGGATCTACTGTGTATTTTGTTCTGTCTGATCTGGGAAGCTGAAACAGCATCCCTTGGATTTCTCTGTGTTGTGTAATTGAATTGTCTAGAGTGTTAATCATCATTTGATTATTCTGATGTTCTTGATGAAAAAAATATGTACACTGGAATCATAATGTAATTACAGAATTTGCTTTTAGCATGAATATATTTCTTCTCAGTGACACTGAAATTATTTACTACTCCTAATATTTATATATTATTTTGACAGATATGCAGTGGCCTGTGAGTAATTTTAAGGGGGCACAGTTTACTCCATGGAGCTTAAAAGCAAGGATTTTCCCCCTCCCCTTTTGCCCCATCACATTTTATTATTAATGGACACATTTGAATTGTCAGCTATCCCAAAGCCTTGGTGTATGGGCTGGAACGATCAAATTAATTTAATTGCTTAACCATGTCATTGCTAACTAGGAGTACCGAACACCCTCTTGGTTGTGCTTTATCTTTTCCCTAGCAGTTGTTGTGTTTTGTGGGGGATTTTTTTTTTAATTCTTCCTGTTAGTTTAAACATAAGAATTCCAAGTTGAAATAGGCTGTAGTGTGGAAATGTAGGCTTCGGGGAGCTGTGTGGGCTAGGAATAAACTTTTGACTTTGTCTGGAGGCAGGATGCTAAGACAGCTCAGCTGGCAGATTTAATGATGATTGTCATGAATATTAAATGATAGAACCAAAACAAAACTCCCAGAGAGACACTTATGCACAAATCTTACATAGCAACACAACCAGCTCAGACAGCTGGCTCTCTGTAGACTTTCTTGAAAGAAAACAGTGCTGAGGCACATTAGGATGATTTTTATAAACCGGAAAGCCAATTTGTGATGCACTGTTTGAAAGTTAGAGGCCTTAATGATTTATAGCTTGAAGCAGAAATCTGTATTCTGAAGTAGATAAATAACAGGTAAGTTATATCTGTGCTGTTCTCCCTTGTATTAAGTGTTTCAGAATATTTTTGAGCTCTGTACTTACTAAAAATGTGTACGAGTGGTAAGTCCGTAACAGCTCTGTGGTGTGCAGCTATCATCCCACCTCTTCCTCTGAAGTCCCTCTAATCCCTTTTTTGGTTTTTTTTTGTTTTTTTTTCCTCTCTAAAAAGACCACATTGCAAGGTACATAATAATTAACTATAGTTGGTTTTGTTTCCTTCTTGTGATTTGTCCCAGACAGGAGAAGAGCTAGCTATTCACAGAGGTCCTCCTTCAGCTCCAGTGGTGTCAGCTAGCTCCTGCTACATGGAAAAAATTAAAATTCAAGAAGTTTGGATTTATTTGAAGTAACACCAACGTAGATCTGGGATGATTCCGTTAACAGCACTGCAGTCATGCTGTGTTTCTGAAAGGATATCTAAAGGTAAGACAAGGAGAGACGTTCTCTATGGCCTAGACAGTAATCCTTGTTATGCTTTATAAGTTGTGGTCAAATTCTTGCTCATAACTTCTGTGACTTTTATGGTTATGTACAGTTGTACCAACTTCACATGTGGTTCAGTGATTTTTCAGATGCCAAAAGCAATGAGATGAAATAACAGAGTAGGTTTTCTCAGATAACTGCATGTAGGCACGATCCATTTTGTGGTGCTGTTCTGAGTATAAAAAGATAAAGTAAATCTAAATTATTTTTAGGTGCGATGAGTCAGTCTAAGTGAGTTGATGGAAAAAGATATAAATGAAAGGACAGTCCAGTTAGAGGAAGTTATGGAGAGTAATGCTTTTATATAAACATTCTGCAGAATTCGTTTGGCTTTCCAAACCCTGTAGGTAAATCAAGAAGTGCTTTCCAGTGGCTCATGGAGACCTCTCTAGTCATATGGTGCTAGCTGTCTTTGTTTTCAATTCAACTGTATTAAGAACAGAAAATGTTTTTAAAAGTAGAATTTTAGACGTATTTATGTAAATAATTGATGGGGTTATTTCAGTGGTATTATGTGACTGAATAGTGTGCGCAATCAGAAATAGAAATGGCCAGCAGGTTCCCAGCTGTGAAGAAAACACAGTGAGATAATTTTTCAGCTAGTATCTGGACAACCCCTGATTTATTTCTGTTGTTGTTAAATCAAACAGCCTAGTGGAATAGGAGTGATTTTTTTAAGGGTAACATAAACCAGATACATTTAAAAGACTTAGACTAGCTTATATTTGTGTTTTCACAGTACTATGAGGAATTTGCATGCTCTCTGACAGGGCTTGCAACAAGGTGAGCTACAGTATTGTGGAATAATGGTTTGTAACTATTTCCCTATGTATTAAAGTTTCTGGTAAAGATATATTACTTTGTGAAGCAGATACAGCTAACAATTATTCAGATAAAATCTTGCTTAAGATTTTACTTTTTTTCAAGCTGAAAAGCTCCTTTAGTACTTAGGGAAGATCAAGTTAAGGTGTCTTAGTCTGCAAAGGCTACAAACAGTTGGTTTGGGATTAGAGGCTCATTTCTTACTTGAAACATCCAGTCTATTTTATCATAAACTAGTGGATGAAGTGTTTACCTCTAACTTCCAGCTGCACCTTCACTTTGCATATTTTGAATGTATTATTAAAACTCTCAACAATGTTGTGAAACACCTTTTATACAATGTCTGTAAGTGGCTGAGCCAGAAATATTGTTGGGGTCATCATGGTTTCTTTTCAGTATTTCAACAAACAAATGACCTATGGAAATCTAGGCAAATTCCAAGTGATGACAGACCTGGTTGAGCGTGGGTAAAATATACTCACTTCAGCTGAAAGATGAAGCACCACGAAGTGATAACTCTTAGGAGCAAGGAAATTAAAGCCAGAGCTTCAGAAATTAGCATTCTTGATCTTACAGCCATCTTAGGGTCCCACCAGCCTAAAAGTCCTAGCAACATAACCTTCTTCAAATGGCTGAAAGTCCCAATAGGGATGAAAAACAAAGGAAATTCAAGGGAAGCATCAGCTCATTTACCAGCCAGGAAACCTAGCATTAAGGATTGCAAAGTTGTAGTGAAGCTGAAAGTTGCACCTTCATGTCAGTGTACCAGGTCACCTCTTCAGCAGCAAAACTCCAGCCTTCTCTCTTAAACCAGAATGGGCATCGTTTAAACACAAAATGAGAAAAATTGCTAAGTTATGGACTGAATAGCAGCAGCATAACTTTCTATGAATGCAGGCACCTGCAAGGTATCAAAGCAAAAGGCATCAGTATTTTGGGAAAAAGAGACTGAGGTTGTCGAGCAAGGAGCCAGCAGTCACAAACTGTTTAATTCATGCTGATTTCCCCAGAACTGTATCCAAGGAGGATGTCACACTTTTCCGTTCTCAAGTTCAACCTTTTCTCTGAGTGCATCAGCAAGTTTCACCTCTTCTGAAACTGTACTCTCCCGTGAGTTATTTATAATCGCCTGCTGCTTCCTGTAAGTAGGATTTCACTTACCTTCCTTCTCTCTGCCTCAGATTGTTATATTTCATTGATGCGCTGCTTCTTCACGTATAAACCTTTCAGCAGCCTGTTTTCTTCCAACTCCAAGACTTGCTAAACTCAAAGGAGACCCTTCAGAGAATGGAAGGAAGTATTTACCCTTGGCAGCAGCAATTTAGAGGCATACATAATATTTAATGTGTAGAATCATAGAGGCTCAGTGCATACTGAAACATCCCTCCTAAGCATGCATTCTCTTCAAGTTCACTAAAATTGATAGGTTGGTCTTTTGCACACTAATACTGAGAGCTTTTCAGATATCCCTATAAGCTGACATCATCATTTCATTTTGGTCTGCCATTTTTGTTGTGTCAAACATCAAAACTGCAGGGCATTATTTCTGACCTGTTCAGTTCAAGAAATGCATGGAATAGAACATGTTTTAGAAAGACTGTAAGACTGTTGCCTTCGTCTAAATTGCTAGAGCTCTCTGTTGTGTATCTCAGACATACATGTATGTTGCCTTTCTGCAATGTGAAAATACATCACAAATGCCTTGAAAGTCCTACTGTCTTAAAAAGTATTGCATAACTATTGTAAGGTACAGAGCATGGTTAAACTATAAAGAGAGAAAAGTCAGTGATATTCTTGACACGCTTCCAGGCATAATGTAGGACATAGACATGTTACCTAAGAATATAATCTCAATTTACCTTCAATTAACATTTTTGCTGTAAGTATCCTTAGGTCTGATGCACAGTTTCACAGTTCTGCAGTTCAGAATGAAGAGTTTGCTTTTTGTGGAGCAGTATTTATTATTTTTAATGAGACTGTTTTTAGGAGCTTTGCTCAAACATAAAAATTAATAAATGGTTAAACATCATAAATAAGTTTGAGTTACCTCTCCTTATCTGTAGTCATTACCAAAAGAGCAAACTAGGATACCCTTGATCTGCCACAGCTATTTTGAACCAGTTATCAGTTTCATCTATAAAGTTATCCTCCAGGCAGTTAATTGCTTGGTAACTAAGCTCTGCATATCCAACACAACCGATTTTAGTATCCTGCAAAGGATCGTAGAACCAGGCATAGGGAAGTTTTCACTTCAGTCATCACCTAATTCTATCTGCACAAGTGCCAGAAAAGAAAATTCCCTTTCCTCTACTGGCTGAAACAAATGCTACCTATAAGGGCTTTTTTCATTCAAAGATTCTGTTGTGTACAAAAGAAGAGTGTGAGGCTTCGAGTTCAGCTCTACATTCAAACATTCCTACAAGTTTAGGTCTGTTTGGACTCAGTTTATGTGTTTGACACTCTGTCATCAGTCTGTTATCTGTGTTGCTGTAATCTCTAAAGCCCAAGTAGATACGCCAAGAAGTGGGCTCAAATTTTCACAATGCGAGGGTTAGATCCAAGACTCTGCTTTATCTGCTGCCTTTGCAGAATATGAGATAATTTTCAGCAAAATATGGACATTGGGACATTGATTTCTTTTCCTTTTTCAGAGAGGTTTCATTTAGCTGAGGGAAAAATATGTTGTATTTTGAATTTTCTTGGATGGCTTGCACTCAGATTCTTCTAAACTTTTCACTTCTCAGAAAAATAGTGTTTCATGTCAGGACCGCAGAACATGGTAATCTGAACATTCATTAACAGTGCAGAATTTCTGATTGCAACAGCTACAAATAACCTATGGGAAACAGTAACAGGAATTGTTTATTCAAGAATACTTCCTGTGTCTCTGCAGTTCATCCAGGTGTTTTCACAGAACATTAATCTTGGGTTCTGTAATTTTGGATTTCTTGTCAACAAATAACCCAAGCCAAGAAGATCTAAGCATAGGTTTTGTAAACAAGTAAATTAGGACTCTCACCTTCTACTGAACAGGAAGAAAAAACTCAAACCTGAAGGTGTTATGTAAAGACCAACAGATGGGTAAGGGCACAAGTTTACATTGTTATCATTGACAATATTTGACAGAAGCAAAAATAAGCAGCACTGTCTGTTACCAGCCCTGCACATACTGCTCAGCCAAATCTACCTTACCAGTATAAATTGTCCCAATAGCACGCTAAGATACATTCTCGTTTCCCACCTGTTCTGTTTTCTGGGATAGGGATTTGTTTGGTCATGCCAAGATCAAAATCATGCCTATGCTATTAGAGTATTTCCAGCAGTGATGCCCAACTCTCATACACTGAGGTTTTTGAGAATGTGATTGAATAGTGTGGGAGAAAAAAAAACACCTTTTGATACAGAACTGATTTTTGTGTCAAAGCAGTCAGATACATTCTATATTTTAACTATCTGAATGAGCATTCACACATAGGGCTCTGAATGAAGTACTTATTACAAATCTAAAAGTTAAGTGGTTTTTTTGCTTGTCTAAATCAAAGCATTCACAGACAAGGACTGATTTTCTTTGAAAATAGCCATTCTGTATCCCATATAAGTAGCTTTCAGGTTATAGGTTCATGTGTATTTTACTTTATCTGAATATTACTCATGGTGCATGGATTTGTCACAAGTTGCATGGCTTGTATATTGTTTCCTGTATGGACAGAAAAACATTAAGCAAAAGCAGAAATGGATGATGGCTAACAAAGTGTATGATTGTCATGACTTAATGTCAGTTCTGGGGATTTCAAGATATCCCTGAAAATATCCAGCGTTCATCTGAAAATATGCAAATATTGAACAGAGCTACTTAGCACATCTTACTGGTGTGCAGCTGAATCCTACTGATTCGCAGCTTTTTCACTCACAGTAGTAGTCAGAAGGTTTTTTGAATTTTTTTTCCTCTCAGTTTAACCAGATCAGCTGAAAAATTAGTGTTGGACTTCCTATATGAAACTTTTCACATCTCCTTTGTTTTCTCTTGAGCAAATGCAAATTACATTGAACACATTTCAGAGAAGTATATTTATCTATAAAAGAGACAGAATACATTTGTAAAAGTCAGCTAAACCTTTTTTTTTTTCTTGTCTTCTCTTTTGCACCATCAAGTGAGTTTTACTTGTTCTTGGGAGTCTTGCAAGGGGAAAAATGCAGTAATTAAATTCCTTTCCAAACTATAATTTGTTGAATATCTAGCCCCGTGGTGGTTTTGAAACAAAAGTTAAAAGGAGGTGACTTACAACTGTGTTGAGGCTTTTCCCATTCCAATGCACTGTACTTAAACAGATAAGCATCCCAAATTCTTGGAAGAAGAATCAACCTGCAGGATTTGGAGTACCTGCATTCTGGCAAGTGGTCTTGTTCAGATTAGGGTGCAATAACTAATAGCTGTGATGAACAGCTTCTAACCCACCTTTTACATGTTCTTAGTATGATTTCACTTAACTGCAGTCTCTACAACTGCAAAAATTAACAAAATACTTTCAGCTGCATTTCATAACCCCTTTAATTGAATTTTTGGTTGCTTATATCATTAGTCCTGTTGCTCCCGTTGTTAATCAGAGAAGTCCTTCTTAAAGCATGGATTATAGAATCCATCCTGTCACAGCAGTTAGTCAAATATATTAGGATCAAAGTGAGGCACTATTGAAAAGAATGCCAGGTGGGAAACAGCAACTCAGGTTGTGCATCTTCTAAGTGATGAACCCATCTGTTAATTCTTAACATTTCAAAGCGTAAACTAGTATTTAATGCTAAAGTAAGGCAATTCTTGGTACAGCAATTAATTAAAACCTCAGACCATTCAGGCATCCATGTTAAGTTAGAGAGATGCAGATTAGAAGCAGCATGGCAAAAATAATGACATAGGCAATGTTATCTGGAAGCAGCAAATAAATTGAAAAGAAATTCTTCACTCTCCAAAGGAGGTATGGAGTATGAGGAGAGCTACAATTGGGCTTTAAATAGCTTGCTTGGTTTGAGTGCAATTTATAGATTGTGAGGGCACCTGTTTCACTGGAATAATACAGAGGTCAGGGAAATGCAGCTGACTAAAAAAACAAGGATAGCACACAGTTTGCTTGTTTTGACAGCAGTGTATACATATAGTGAGGACACCTGTCTTACTGGAATAATACAGAGGTCAGGGAAATGCAATTTACTGAACAAAACAACCATAGCAGACAGTTTGCTTTTAAACAAAACAAATTTCAGGCTGTTGGCAAGTAACAACCTTAGACATAAAATGGTGTCATTAAATTAACACTGAATGAAATACTGTGGTACCCTGAATTCATTTTTAAAAAGCAGTCGGTGAAAATGTGTTAAGGATGCATGCCCACTTAAAGCCTTATTATCATACCACTGTTCTGTTGAGTGGGAACCTCAAGTGAAAGAGTCTAGGAAGTGATTAAATGCGAGTCCTTCAGTTCCCAAACTGAAATAAAAACAAAAAGGCAGCATTTTGCATTCTAAAATGCACTCAGTTGTGATAATCTTGTCTTTAATAACAGAAAGGAAGGACTAGAGCATCTCCCTGTTTACAGACATGAGTGAGGGTGGGTTGGATTCACAAGGATCTCACACAACAAGAATGGGGTTTATATCACCATTTCCTGTTGCAACAGGAGGGTTTCTTCACTGAAATGAACCTGAAATTTAGTACAAGTAGAAGCTGAACTGTCTGCTTCGAGAAGGCATCACTTCTAGAATTTCTGAATCACTGAGGTTTCCTATTTGAGCCTGCTGTGTGATTAATGCAACCCATTTACTCCATGTAGCATTGGTGGCATGATGAGTAGAAGGAAATTTACCTTTGAACACCCAGCCCAGTACTTGTAATTGGGGCACCAGGAGCTGTGCTTCAGTACCAGCCACTTCCAAAGCAGCTTTAACCCCTTCACATGTTGCCAATACCTCTCACACAGCCAGTTCTCTCAGGTACTTAATACTTTTCTCCATGGTGGTCCATTTTTTGGTGGCTGACAAAGGTTGCCTCCAGAGACTGAGAGCTTGTGACTTTCACCCAAGTGCCTTGTTGATGCCTCCATCTCTGGCCAGGTTTCCCAGCTGCCTGGTGAAGTCTATGGTATCAGCCCCATTATCCCAGCATCGGAGCAACCAGGTGATAAGTGTCTCACCTTCACAACGGCTGAAGATTTTGCAAGTCCTTCATAGAGAAGGATTGAATAATTACTTCTGTTCCTGAGTCATCCCCATCCGTTGACAGTGGCTGAGAAGGACCCTCTCCTGGATCTACTTTACAAGAACCTTTTCCTTTATCTGCTTTAGAAGGACCCTCTCCTGGATCTTTGTTGAAAGAGTTCTCTCCTGTGTGATCTGACCTGAGCTGGTCTTTGGTGTAAGGGGCAAGGAACGGACTGACCTTGTAGTTGGAGCTGGAGGTGGCAGAGTGGCTTGTGGGCTTTCAGCAGCAGCAGTACATGCCTTACGACACCTACTCCTGCACCAAAGTACTAATATAAAACCCCGGAAACACATTCAGGAGAGTCAATAATAAAATCACAGCCCTGAGGAAGTAACAATCATTTCCAAAATCCCCAAGCTCTAGCGGTGTCAGCTTGGAATGAAAAGAAGAGGTAAACTTTCTCAAGGTAAAATTAAACGTGTAATTAGTAACAAACTCCACTAGGTGACGCCCAGTGTGTGCAGGTAACGTCGTGGCATAAATTGTGGTAAAAAACCATAGCCAGATATCCTGTTTAGCCCAGCACTCCTAACCAAAGCACCGCAAATAAACAAAAAACACAATTGAATAATAACACAACACATACGGTGGGTTAAGCAGTATTGCATCAACTGATTTTAAACAAAACTCCATAAAGACGTGATATATTTTCCTCAAGAATGACATGATGTGAGTTCTGTTTTAATTTCAAACCCTTCAGGACTCTCAAAGGAAAAAAATCCAATACCATCTCAACTGAGCAAGCTGGAATTCAAACTATTCAGGCAATCTATCAGAGTGCAGGTTGTGCCCCACATTGGGCAGCAGTAAATCTGTCATAGTTTAGGCTGGGCAGGCCACTAAACGAAGGACAGCAGCTCTCTTTTAACCTCTCTCCCCTCTCAGAAGAGAAGACAGAGAATAAGGGAGAGAGGAAAAAAAGAAACTGAAACAACTTTAATGAAATATTAATAATAAAAAGAAAAGAGAATATTATCAATCGGAAAATAATTTTTATATGCAACATATACAAAACCAGTATCAAGCTCCTGGGATGACAAGCACGTCACCAGCAGGCACTGGGAAAGTCCCAGACTGGACTCTGACAGATGGGAACAGGGTTCAGGAACTGGATTCAGGAACGTATAGATCAGGATCTAAGGCAGATGAACAGACAAGAGTCCTCCTTGGATGCCAGTCATTAAGGAAAGAGACTGACTCCTTTGATCCCTCAGCTTTTATACTGAGCGTGATGCAGATGGGATGGAATGCCCCGTGGTTCAGTTTGGGTCACCTGTCCTGGCCTCTCCTCCACACAGGTCTTCTGCTTCTGACCCTCCAACGGGACACACAACAAAGTGAGTTGATCTTGGTTGTCACAGCAGTAAGTATAAGCAGAAGCCTCTCTGCATACTGTTCCTTGGTATTAACTATAAACATCAGACCTTATCACACTGGAAGCAGACACTAAAATGTCCACCATAATCAGTTAGAAGAGAAGTAACTGAAAAGTGAAATTACTGAAAAGAGAATGGGTTCTGTTCTACTTCAAACCAGGACACACATGCTTTTATGGTCCTCTTGCTGCTGAAAGACTGCCAGAGAAACCCGATAAAGGGGCTTTGCTTTCATTCTACAGAATCTGCAGTTTTATATTAAGTTAAAAGGAAGAGGAATGTATGAATGCATGCTTCATCGCAACAGCAATGATGAAGCTAGAGTAAGAACAAAGAAAAACTAACAGAAATTAAAAGCAAGAGCTGAAATTGTCAAATAAAGATGCTAACAATATCCAGAGGATACCAAACTACTAGAATAAACTTGTGCTGTAAGAGTACATGGTAAACAGGGGACTATCGTTTCCGGGTTTTGTCAGAGAAAGAGTGGAGGAAGCTAGAAGGAAATCATCACAATCTAATATAGATGACATCTTTTATAATTATTTAAAAAAATTAAAGTGTCATTTATTCACAACTAATGTAATAATAGTCTTACTTAAAACGTTGCAGTAGGCCTCATGGGGAAAAAAAGATTTATTTTTCTTGCTTTGCATAAATAGTCCACAGTAACTTCATTTTAAGAGATTGAGTGGTTTTATATCCAGTTTTCTCAAACCTATCAAATATTAGATCCCACAATGCTTTTTAAAATGTAAGCCTCTATTACACATGTGATACCCTACACTCACTTGAAGCCCGGAGAGCTCATGTAGGCTCATCCAGATAATGCATTTCCAAGGAGTGGGAAACCACTTGGGATTTACAAAAAGGCCAGTCATGTTTCAACTATTAAAAAGTTACTTATCTCTTCTAAGGAATGGAACCCTACATTACACACTTGTAAGCAGAGAAATCCAACCAGAAAGAACTTTCATATGAAATAATTCCCGTAATTCAGAGCAAACAGCCAAAGTGTATGACACTAATACAGATCAGTTTGTTTCCTGAAAGGAAGAACGCTATGTTAACTATGTGTGTACACACATATATATTTTCTAAACAGAAAACGGACTTACGATAGCTAATTTTTGTAATCAGAACCAGAAAACAGAGAATCAATCTAATAGTCTATCCCAGGCATTCTCCAAGTACAAAAATGTTCCTCAAAACTCATCTTTAATGTTGAAGTGTGGCTGATCTTCAGGTTTAAAGTCTAGATTGGGGCTGCCATCCTCATTCAGAATTCTTCGAGAAGTATAGCCAACAATTGGATATTTGGCCTTATAAACATTATTGAAGATATCATCCAGGGACTTCAGTTCCTCTTCTGTGAGTCCTGTCTGAATGAAATATGGACATGAAAGTCATGTCTCAAAGAAATAAAATTACAGATGTTTACAAGCATTTTTCCTTTTTATTCATTATGATAAAGCTTAGGGTCAGCTATTGGGTTTATTTTGCAGAGCATGATTAACAAAATTGATAGTATAGCCTGTAATTGTATTCTTTTCTTTCACATTCAGTTCTGAAAAAACTTTAATATATTCAGGTCAAACAAACTGTTAAACTCCCCTCATTTTCCCTGCAGAATTAAATCACACCTCAAATAAGAAACAACCCAGAGATAGCATTAAGACAGAGAATAAGGGAGAGAGGAAAAAAAGAAACTGAAACAACTTTAATGAAATATTAATAATAAAAAGAAAAGAGAATATTATCAATCGGAAAATAATTTTTATATGCAACATATACAAAACCAGTATCAAGCTCCTGGGATGACAAGCACGTCACCAGCAGGCACTGGGAAAGTCCCAGACTGGACTCTGACAGATGGGAACAGGGTTCAGGAACTGGATTCAGGAACGTATAGATCAGGATCTAAGGCAGATGAACAGACAAGAGTCCTCCTTGGATGCCAGTCATTAAGGAAAGAGACTGACTCCTTTGATCCCTCAGCTTTTATACTGAGCGTGATGCAGATGGGATGGAATGCCCCGTGGTTCAGTTTGGGTCACCTGTCCTGGCCTCTCCTCCACACAGGTCTTCTGCTTCTGACCCTCCAACGGGACACACAACAAAGTGAGTTGATCTTGGTTGTCACAGCAGTAAGTATAAGCAGAAGCCTCTCTGCATACTGTTCCTTGGTATTAACTATAAACATCAGACCTTATCACACTGGAAGCAGACACTAAAATGTCCACCATAATCAGTTAGAAGAGAAGTAACTGAAAAGTGAAATTACTGAAAAGAGAATGGGTTCTGTTCTACTTCAAACCAGGACACACATGCTTTTATGGTCCTCTTGCTGCTGAAAGACTGCCAGAGAAACCCGATAAAGGGGCTTTGCTTTCATTCTACAGAATCTGCAGTTTTATATTAAGTTAAAAGGAAGAGGAATGTATGAATGCATGCTTCATCGCAACAGCAATGATGAAGCTAGAGTAAGAACAAAGAAAAACTAACAGAAATTAAAAGCAAGAGCTGAAATTGTCAAATAAAGATGCTAACAATATCCAGAGGATACCAAACTACTAGAATAAACTTGTGCTGTAAGAGTACATGGTAAACAGGGGACTATCGTTTCCGGGTTTTGTCAGAGAAAGAGTGGAGGAAGCTAGAAGGAAATCATCACAATCTAATATAGATGACATCTTTTATAATTATTTAAAAAAATTAAAGTGTCATTTATTCACAACTAATGTAATAATAGTCTTACTTAAAACGTTGCAGTAGGCCTCATGGGGAAAAAAAGATTTATTTTTCTTGCTTTGCATAAATAGTCCACAGTAACTTCATTTTAAGAGATTGAGTGGTTTTATATCCAGTTTTCTCAAACCTATCAAATATTAGATCCCACAATGCTTTTTAAAATGTAAGCCTCTATTACACATGTGATACCCTACACTCACTTGAAGCCCGGAGAGCTCATGTAGGCTCATCCAGATAATGCATTTCCAAGGAGTGGGAAACCACTTGGGATTTACAAAAAGGCCAGTCATGTTTCAACTATTAAAAAGTTACTTATCTCTTCTAAGGAATGGAACCCTACATTACACACTTGTAAGCAGAGAAATCCAACCAGAAAGAACTTTCATATGAAATAATTCCCGTAATTCAGAGCAAACAGCCAAAGTGTATGACACTAATACAGATCAGTTTGTTTCCTGAAAGGAAGAACGCTATGTTAACTATGTGTGTACACACATATATATTTTCTAAACAGAAAACGGACTTACGATAGCTAATTTTTGTAATCAGAACCAGAAAACAGAGAATCAATCTAATAGTCTATCCCAGGCATTCTCCAAGTACAAAAATGTTCCTCAAAACTCATCTTTAATGTTGAAGTGTGGCTGATCTTCAGGTTTAAAGTCTAGATTGGGGCTGCCATCCTCATTCAGAATTCTTCGAGAAGTATAGCCAACAATTGGATATTTGGCCTTATAAACATTATTGAAGATATCATCCAGGGACTTCAGTTCCTCTTCTGTGAGTCCTGTCTGAATGAAATATGGACATGAAAGTCATGTCTCAAAGAAATAAAATTACAGATGTTTACAAGCATTTTTCCTTTTTATTCATTATGATAAAGCTTAGGGTCAGCTATTGGGTTTATTTTGCAGAGCATGATTAACAAAATTGATAGTATAGCCTGTAATTGTATTCTTTTCTTTCACATTCAGTTCTGAAAAAACTTTAATATATTCAGGTCAAACAAACTGTTAAACTCCCCTCATTTTCCCTGCAGAATTAAATCACACCTCAAATAAGAAACAACCCAGAGATAGCATTCACCGCCATGTCAGTGACACAGGATTCACTAAATCAATTGACAAAGAAAGTGATTTACTCTCTTTGGAAGCGTCTTTTTAAACAGCAGGCAATTTTCCCTTTATGTGCTTACATAAATTGTATTGATTCCACAGATTGAAAACTTTCCTCTTTGAGGCTGTTAACACTGCACCTTTCGTGAGCAGTAAATGCATATCCATTTTATGTAGTTAAAGAATATTAATGCATTTTAAAGATGTGAATCAACTTAAATAAATCCAAATATTTTAATATTATCATTCATCATCTTTCAAAAGAATTTAACTTAGCAAAATAGAATTAAACTAACAGTCTGTTTTCTTACTATGTCATGTGTAAGATCTGCTGGATCCAGAGACATCTTTGCAACTCCTCTTGTTGAGTCTTTTCCAACCAAAGCATTGTATGGGGCTCCTTTCCCATAAAATTCTGTCAGATTAAAAAAAATAATAATAATCCAGTGATGATCTGAAAATGTGCAGGGTATGGTCAGCCTCTAATTTTCACGGGCTTGTTAACACTTGTCAGTGAACTGAAAGCAGTAACTCAAGTCAAAGATTCTTCTTTCCAAAACTAACTTTTGATTTCCTACTTTTTAATAATATATCCCAGTCTTTAAAAAAAAAGCAAAGCACAGGGCAGGGTTATGCAATACAACCATTGAACTCCTATATTGCGGTCTTAAAATGTCCCTATTATTTAGGGAGCTGTGCTTTACATTCTCATGAGAAGTTTGTAGACTCCAGACTTTGCGGTGGCAAGCCTTGTCTAACGGAGGATTTGAAGATCAGCCAACGTGTATATCCAGACAAGCTGCATTAACAAACTTAGTACAAAGCAACAAGCCATTAGTTTGCTTATGACAACGTTAAGGCAAGCGTCCAGGACCCCCATGTTCCCTTCAAATATTTTACAGGAAATCTGAATTAAGTAGGAAGAGTTCAAATTAAAACATCTGTAGTTCTGAGGAAAGGCACAGACAGCAAGTACAGAAATAAATGGTTTAGGTGTAATGACAAGACAAAAAGCCTCATGAAATAAAAACATTTTAAAGAAGAAAAAAAATTACTTAGCCCCCCCCCCTTTCAAAATCAGAGTCAACTCTTCCCAGAGTTTTGACGAGGCCACTGGACAGCGCGGGCAGGCAAACACCAACACAAAAGGAGGTGAAGCTGCAGCAATGCTGATAGTGTGAAGTGCAATACAGGTACATCCAAGCTAGCTTTGATCTGGTCGGTTCATGTACCCAGGGCAATAAAATGCCGTAGCACTGCCTTCCATGTGGCCTGACCTACAATCTGATGAGGACTCAGGTGTCTGGGCAGGTACCTTCAAGCATTTCCTTTGTCAGGGCCCAAGCTAACTGAGCTACGTTGGCCTGTCTGTCTACATGTACTGTAATCTCAAACCACTGTAATTTCTACTGGAGGAGGTGCCAGAGGAAGAAAATGGAGTTTTTTAAAAAAGGAAAAAGTATACAAGTTTTGTTGCAATTGAACTGCTGGCTTCTATTACATTGGGAATATTTAAAAACAAATGACTGACTAACAGCATGAACACAAAGCGGACAGCAGAGGAGAAGCAGACTCACCTTTTCCAGAAGTGACATCAAATACTACTCCCTTCACCGCCAGGTAAATGGGCTGTCCTTCCTGGAGAGAGAGCCAGCGATATATCCTCATCACTTAAGCACAGGCGTAAGGCAATTAGTTTTAGCTATAAAATCCACAAGCACTCAGGACACAAAGAGGAGAATTGCATTCTCTGTTGTATGTTTTCTCTTGTTTGTGTGTGTATACATACATACATACACGTTATCTCTCTGGGAATTTCTTGCTTGTGCTTTAAACTGCCCCTGGTATTATTATTTTCTTAGGATTTAAACAAATGGAATAAGACAATCTTTTTAATCTGAACGTCACAATCACAGAAGACAAGTCCCCCTTGCAAGTCACCTTTTGTCTGCCTGAAGATGATCAACTGCATTTTGCCATTCCTAATGCAGATGGATATTGCCCAAGATAAAAGGGCGTGTGGCCAACAGCATTCTTTATTCGATTGAAGACAACAGATAAATACATAAACACACACAAATCTGATCCGCTGACATCTGTTTTACTTAATAAGCCAGTGCTTCTGCTTTGTCTTTTATGCACAAGATGTGTTTTCAGTCAGATGCTGGTTAGTTTCTTGAAAGTGGCTAGAGAAGACCCTGAGAAGGTCAGCCAGCAAGTACTTCAAGAAGAGAAGACAGATGTGTATCAATATAGGACCTTATCATTTTGAATGTGAAGTTCTGCTGAGATTTCTGCATCACAGAAAGCTATAAACTACCAAGTTGAAATTGCTTTGTTATTTCTATAATCTCATAGGGGAAGAAAAAAGGGTCTAAATACATAGTTTAATTAATTGCTGAGAGAAAATTACTTTGGCTCCAATCTATGGTAATCAGAAATTCACTGATTGTCTGTACGCAACTTTAAGGGACCAAAACCAGCAGCTGGCAGGAGCACAACTGACCAGCTGCCCAGCAACACGCCGACCAGCGCCGACAAACTTCTCGCCGATGCCTGAAACGCAAGTTACCCCGTGTTTCCCGGGAGGGGGGGAATAGCAGAGCCCGAGAAAACCAAGTTTTAAGGCGGTTTCCAGGGCACCGAGCAGCAGGGAAGGAGGCAAGGCTGGGGTCTGTGCGGCGCCCCACCGGCCCCGGGGTACGGGCCC